ATGTCATCTGTATGTATTACCCCTAGGAGCCCATGTCATCTGTATGTATTACACCTAGGAGCCCATGTCATCTGTATGTACTGTATTACACCTAGGAGCCCATCTGATCTGTATGTATTACACCTAGGAGCCCATCTGATCTGTATGTATTACACCTAGGAGCCCATGTCATCTGTATGTATTACTCCTAGGAGCCCATGTCATCTGTATGTATTGAACCTAGGAGCCCATGTCATCTGTATGTATTACACCTAGGAGCCCATGTCATCTGTATGTATTAAACCTGGAGCAATATCTCCGATGCTATTGTGCCCATCTTCAGGATGATTGGGCAGACCTGCTCGCACTAGCGGAGTTCTCTTACAATAACGCTGTCACGTACCTTAGGGGAGTCTGAGTTGACGAGGGCGGCCTCTCTCACAGCTCCGGTCCCGGAGCACCTGGATTGGTTACAGGGGCGCCGGGGCACAGAGGGGCAAGGGTGCCAGAGGCTGGTTAGCCTGTTGCGCCTGTGAGATGAGATGACGTGCGTAGATCCAGGCAGGAAGCAGGATGCGGATGCACCGAAGAGGTTTCAGAAGGCTTTAGATCCGATGAGCTGAGGAAGCTGAGGAAGCTGGAAGCAGAACACACAAGGCAGAAGGATAGTCAAGCAGGCTAAGGTCGTCAACGAGCTAGCAACGCAGTACAAGGGATGAGGCAGAATCAAGGTCAAAAACAAGCCGGGGTTAGTAACGGGGAGCAAGCAACAACAGAGAGTAGTCCAAGCCGGGTCAGTAACGGGTAATCAGGATACAGAAAACACAGGAACACAGAACACAGGAAGCTGACGCTCTGACAGCGTGGGAGGATAGCTGAACACAGCCTTTATAGCCCTGTTGGCGGCAATTGTTCAAATGACACGTCGGCACGTGCCCGTGCGCACGTGCACACAAACACGCGCATGACGCGCACGAACGAGCGACACTCGAACTATGGCTCTGGCTGTCTGACAAATGCTATCAGCATGTCCACTAGATGCACTCCCTTCCATACCAACTACGGGTTCCATCCCGTCCCTCTTCCTCTGGACCTCATTCCTTCCAACAACCCTTCGGCAAACGACTACATAGCCAACCTGCAGCAGGTCCTCAAAAACAACATTAGGTCGGCCCAGGAGGGTCAGAAGGCCTCCTATGACCTCAGGTGGCGACCGCCTCCTCGCTATGCAGTGGGGGACTTTGTGTGGCTGTCTACACGGAATCTGAGACTGAAGACCCCTTCGAGGAAGTTTAGTAAACTCTTTATCGGCCCCTATGCCTTTGAGAAGATCGTGAACGACGCCGCAGTCCGGCTGACTCTGCCTGCCAATCTGCGGGTGCATCCCACCTTCCACGTCTCCCTCCTTAAACCGTTCCGTCGGGATCCTTTTCAGGGACGGGTGCCCCCGGCACCGTCACCCGTCCTCGTTGACGGTGAAGCGGAGTTCGAGGTACAGGCAATTCTTGACTCACGCTGGTGTCGGAATCGGCTGCAATATCTCGTCCGGTGGAAGGACTGCGGTCCCCAAGAGGATTCGTGGGAGGATTCCCGTGATGTCCACGTCACAGCTAGGGTCTCGCGTTTCCACAGACGTTATCCTGACCGTCCTTCGCCTCGTACGAACCCTGGCAGGTTTCCCTCAAGGAGGGGGTACTGTAATGGACGTACCGTGGTGAGGTCCGGTGCCACCGTCGCAGGCATGTGCGGGCACGTCAGGTCCCTCCTTCCTCTGGTCACCCACGTAAGGTGCTGGCCTCTGGTGGCGTTGTCCGTGGTCGTCCTGCGCAGGCGCGTTGCGGATCGCCGGTGCCTCTCTCTCCGGCGGGGTCTTCGTCCTGCGCCGGCACGCCCTGTAGCTCTGCCCCTCCAGAGCGAGCGCTCGGCTTAAAGCCACCGTTCGTTAGTTGATCGGTGTCCCACTATTGTTGTAGCAGGACGCTGATCAACTCAGCGCCCCACTCGCTCCTCTGTATGACTATAGCTGATGCCATTCTGCACTGCTGCGATGCAGAATGGCACCAGCTATAGAGGACTACAACTCCTAGTAATAATTTATACAGAAATGCAGATTAGTTCCATCAGCTATACAGGACTATAAACAACTCACATAACATACAGGCACAGAGATTAAAGCACACACCTTATCTAACTGTCCACCAGGCTGGAACACCATGCAGCAGGGGTGTGTATTCAGGAAGCTCCCAGCCGAGGCTCCAGCGCTGCCTGTGGTACAATTAGACCCGGTGTGCGGCTCTCTGCCTCACTTGCAGGGCAGCCAAGCGGATGGCGCCCGGCGCCCCCCAACATTCGTTCCCCTGTCCTACCACTGGTACTAGGGGGCCCCCCCTCCTCCTCTCCTTGCGCGCTGGCTCGGTCCCGCACCGGCGGTACTTCCGCCTCTGCCTTGCGCCCGACGCTGTTTGAAGACGACCTTCCGGTGGCCGAGTCCACCTGCAATGGGAGAGGTGGGAAGGACGGAGGGGGCGGGGTCATTGCTGTCGCCGGACCGAATCTCACTGGGCAGGGCCCCAGCATGTTATGCCACTGGGTGACGGCCCCCCCATGCTATGCCACCGGGTGACGGACACCCCCTGGCCGCGGCCCTCGGGCAGTGCACTTCTTCGCTGGGAGTATGTATTACCCCTAGGAGCCCATGTCGTCGGCATGGATTGAACCTACTGTAGGAGGCTATATCATCTGCATGTATTGAACCTAGAAGCCCAACTTGTCTGCATGGATTGGGCCTTGTGTCTTGGAAATGAACCTGTTATTAATCAGTTAGACGAGTATACCAGTGCAATACAGCTGTATTGAGAAATAAAGACAACAGACACAACGGTGTCAGTCATCAAGATATTTCTGCTTTATTCAAAAACGGGTCTCCTTATATACATTGAAGCACATAATTCATACATGTGAAACAAGACAAGATCCTTATCAGCTTATATCAGACTTAGAACACAGACCCATGACAGGATTTATCAGGACACCGGACTTTGGGTCTAACAGTCTATTTCAGTCACGCGAAACTGTCAGCCCTGATAACAGAATAATTTATGTCTTTAGATAGTCACAATGTATGTGCAGGAAAGGAGGAGGTATTAGCCCCTATAAATATAAAATTAACTATTTATAAAATACAAAATGGAGATTATAAAGCAAAATGAAACCTAGACAATACACAGTTCTACTATATTAGGAGCCCATCTCATCAGCATAGATTGAACCTGGGAGCCCATCTAATCTGCATGGGTTGAATCTAGTTACCCATCTCATCTGCATGGATTGAACCTAGGTGCCCGTCTCATCTACATGGATTGAACCTAGGTGCCCATCTCATCTGCATGGATTGAACCTAGGTGCCCATCTCATCTGCATGGATTGAACCTAGGTGCCCATCTCATCTACATGGATTGAACCTAGGTGCCCGTCTCATCTGCATGGATTGAACCTAGGTGCCCGTCTCATCTGCATGGATTGAACCTAGGTGCCCGTCTCATCTACATGGATTGAATCTAGGTGCCCGTCTCATCTACATGGATTGAACCTAGGTGCCCGTCTCATCTACATGGATTGAACCTAGGTGCCCATCTCATCTACATGGATTGAACCTAGGTGCCGTCTCATCTGCATGGATTGAACCTAGGTACCCGTCTCCTCTGCATGGATCGAAGCTAGGTACCCGTCTCCTCTGCATGGATTGAACCTAGGTACCCGTCTCCTCTGCATGGATCGAAGCTAGGTACCCGTCTCCTCTGCATGGATTGAACCTAGGTACCCGTCTCCTCTGCATGGATTGAAGCTAGGTACCCGTCTCATCTGCATGGATTGAAGCTAGGTACCCGTCTCCTCTGCATGGATTGAACCTAGGTACCCATCTCCTCTGCATGGATTGAAGCTAGGTACCCGTCTCATCAGCATAGACTGAACCTAGGTACCCGTCTCATCTGCATGGATTGAAGCTAGGTACCCTTCTCATCAGCATAGACTGAACCTAGGTACCCGTCTCATCTGCATGGATTGAAGCTAGGTACCCTTCTCATCAGCATAGACTGAACCTAGGAGCACGTCTACTCTGCATGGATTGAACCTAGGAGCCCATCTTGTCTGCATGGATTGAACCTAGGAGCCCATTTCGTCTGGGTAGACTGTATCTAGGAGCCCGTCTCGTACAACTCAACATCTGAAATGGAGTGGTTTGGGGAATGTAGCCAAGCATACAGAATGTACTGGTATGTAAGGTACATACATATACACATTCTGTACATTACACACACTGTAATGTACAGAATGGAGCAGTTTGTAGTAGGGATGTATCGATACTGATACTGGTATCGGTACCAATACCGCAACGTGGTGACGAGGGAGCATGGAGTAATGACTGTCTGCATCCGAGCATGGACACCTGCATCCGCACGGATGAGCAGTTCGGGTGAGAGTACGGCGGCGTACGGCCACGTACTCCCATAAAGTAAAACAAGCTGGTGCGTGCAATCACACGCAGCTCCTGTCCTTCCCGGGAGCGGCCGAAAAGCATTTTCTCCCGGGAAAGGTTTACTCTGCTCGATCTAGAAGAGTCAACCTTTCCCTGCAGTCTGTTTTTTTCTGACATCGGGGCCGCCGGTTGCCAAAAAAAACAGCATAGAAATGAGTAGCTAGGCTTTCAGTGGCTGTTTCTATGTGCAATAGCCAATAGTAGACTAGCTATTACACCGGCCACTGCTGCTGTAATGTGTATTATGTGACAATAGCCTTTATGCCTCGCCCACTCCCCTTCCACCCTTCCACCCCTCCACCACACGCCGCCGCCGCCACACACCGCCACATGTAGGCTGTGTTTACCAAAGTGAGGCGAGCAGCGTAACCCTGCCCACTGCCTCTACGCAGCCAATCAGCTGCATCTCCGTGGTTGATAAATGACGTGCTGCGCTCCCGGCCCCGCCTGCGTCTCCATATCAGTCGTACGTCTCCCTAGCGTGCGCCCTCACTCTGACAGGACGTGCGCGCCCCCGCTTCCTCCTCCTATCTCTCCCTTGCCCGTGTATCCGGAGCGCGCAATGCGCAGGCTCAGTACCCTGGTGAAGATGGCGGCCGATAAACAGAAGCATCATGATGGCAGGATGAAGATCGGCCACTATATCCTGGGGGACACGCTGGGGGTGGGCACCTTCGGCAAAGTGAAGGGTGAGTGGAAGCTCAGGGCAACCTCGGGGAGCGTGTGCCCGATGTGGCGGTGTAAGGAGGGGAGTGGGGAGCCGTGTCAGTGGAATGGCAGCCTGTATGGGAGCTGTGCACTGACCTGGCTGTATGTGTTACCAGGGGTGACTTCCAGAATGTTTAGCACGGTGATGATGTCACTGCTGTTCCTGCAAAGTTATATCTGGGTTTGCAATGACATTTGGTGCTCACACAGCAGATTTATATCGTTTTGTGTTGTTTGGGGAATATGTTTTAATAAAGCTTTTTGTGCCCGAAGTTCAGTTTGTAGCGTGCTGGAGTTTCCTGGAATGATGGGCTGGACCAGAAAGGGGCACAGCCATCCAAAACTCTATTGTGCTGCTGCATACATTGTTTAATACTCCCTTAAAGTGACACTTCACTCGGGAGTTAAACCTTAAATACATTCATGTACCCCAACTATTCACAGAAATGTATCTCATTTGTGTATCACTCGGCTGTAGATCCTCAAATCATCTCTGAATTGGTGCTGACTCTGTCCTGTCTTCTGGAGGGGGGCTACTTTTGTTCCCCATGGTCATGTGTTGTAGTCCCTGCTCCAAGGCCCCCCTCACAGGAGCGAGCTTGGAGCGGTGACTACTTTACAACACACACAGGTCCTTGAATGTGTTTTTTTTTTCAGATTTAACTCCTGAGTTTGGTGTCACTTTAGGGGGCTGTACACACAGGGGCGGACTGACAACACATGGGGCCCCTGGGCAATGTGAGATTATGGGGCCCCGTTGTGCTTCGCCCATATGCAAGCCTCACCCACACATCACGCTCACATATACATTGTTGTGTTACTGAAATTATTTCTCCACACTATTTTTTTTACATAGCAGGTCTATTCATTGAAAGGTGAGTTGCAGAAGGATTGGTAGGAGAATGTCGACCTATACACCAATGTAAGCAATTTGGAAAGTGAGCTAAAACGGCAAAATGTTTCTGGTTTGGCTATTTTGACCAATATTATTCAATTCTGCCAATTATCCTGGCTAAATTGCAGGAGAATTAGTAGGAGTATTGACAGGAGAACTGAATAATTAAAGACTGAAGAGGGGGTATGGGTATGTATAACCCAAACCAGCACCGATACGCGTCAGACGAGCGCCGATACGCGTCAGACGAGCGCCGATACGCGTCAGACGAGCGCCGATACGCGTCAGACGAGCGCCGATACGCGTCAGACGAGCGCCGATACGCGTCAGACGAGCACCGATACGCATCAGACCACATCTGAGCGACAAACAGCATACACAGGAAACTACTCCATGACAGCAGACCAGTGGCGTCACAAGTGGGGTGCGGGGGTTGTGGCCCGCACCTGGGTGACACCATTGGAGGAGTGACAATCCTCTGAAAAGTCAGACACTCAGTCATGGACCGAGAGCCCGACAGTTGCACAAGAGAGGAGTGGACACGGCGGCATACCTTATACTGCCGGGTGAACGCCCCCTCCTCTCTCTGCCGGCGTCCATCACCAAGATGACCGCCGGCAGTTAACAGCGGTACCGCGCGTGACGTCGTCATGCGCATATGCGATTACGTCACTGTGGGGTGTCACCCGGTACCCGCACTGGGTGTCACCCAGACACGGGATTCCTCTGCAGCAGACACAGCCCCTTCTGCCTGTGTGTATGGGAAGCAATGCTGGAGAGCCTAAGGCACCCAACTAATATCTGCTATTTCCCCCTCCAGCAAGTTAGCAGGGACCCCCAGGGCACTTTGCTCGGTTTGCCATCACCAGGAGTATGATAAAACTTTTCTCCAACAAGCTCTGTGTAGCAGGTGATCCCTCCTCCCTTCCTTAGATGGCTCAGCGCTGCTTTTTAGGGATAGATATGCAACAGTTCCTTGGCTTGCTGCTCATCGGCTTCTAGTGATGTGAAATGCTGCAGTGTATGGGGGAAGTTGGAGGGGGCTGAGCCGAGTGGAGTGTCGGCACTGTGTGATAAGCGATCTTGAAGAACTGACAGGGAGTTTAAGTCACATTTATGCCTGGCCCCCCTGCTGACCTGATGGGGTCGGGCACAGGAGGGCTGCCTGCATACAGTACACAGCACAACGATCTCACCTGGATCCCGGATTGTCTGACAGACCAATCCACAGTGGACACTAACAAATCAGGAGACGCTGCTGTGTTAGCAGCGGTGGCAGGGTCTAGTGGGTCCCCGGGACAAGTGCTGGGAGTACAGTACTGTGGGCTGGAAGTGGATCAAAGGGGCAGATGTGAGTCGGCGACGGGCCCCTACTGACTGCAGGCCCTCGAGCAGTGCCCAACTGCCCGTATGGTCAGTCCGCCCCTGCGTACACAGCGATTTGTGATGGAGGTAGCCGGGGGCGATTGCAGACAAGGGATTGATCAATTAAAATATGGAACGCAATCTGTTTAGATCGTATTTTCAATCGGAAGCAATCCTTTAGCTGGTCTGTAGTCTGATGGGCTGTTCTGACGCATATGTGCGAATGTTCGTACGATTGAGCCGATCGATAACGTTCTGCCATAACCGATCGACCTGCCAACATCAGAATGGATCAGAAGATCACTAAATTACAAGTCTCCTCCCAGCCTGAGACCAGACAATAAGAGAAGGAGCAGCCTGATGGGTTCACCTATTCGTCACTTTCTCTCTCCTCCTGTCAGCATGCTGCTTGCACTGCAGCATAACGATTTGAGAAAAGTTCAGTGAGGTCGTGCCTGGGATGGAATTTGTATGATGGGGTTTGAATGCATGGCTTGGATTTCCTTGGATGGGAATTGTAGTTGTTAAGGGGGGGGGGGGGGACTTTTTGTGGTGAGTCCTGGGCATGACAGATCAAGAATCTCCTGGCCTGTCAATCCAACATTGCAGTGTTAGGGCTTATTCCGATAGGCGTGCACTCCCCATAAAGATTCGATCCTGGAAGGGACAGGTGCTGCGTGTAATTGCACACAGCAGCCTGGTCTTCCCTTTGGGGGTATGCAGTTGCACACACCCCTGAACTTGCAGGTCCATGTGGGTCCGTATGCCTGTACTTGGATGCATACGGTCTGCGTCTGTGTGGGCGCCCAGTCCTGCCCAGATGTGCAGGTCCCCTTAGGGGTGAGATGATTGTCTCTGCTTCATAGAACTACTGTCACATCTGACACTCCCAGTTCTCTGGGCGATTGTCGTTCACTGGAGGTTTCATGTTCGCAGATCACTGTCCAATTCCTTGTCAGATAAGGCCGACGCCGAGCACGTCTACCTGCTGCCGCTCCTACCTGTGACCTGAACGTGCAGACTGCCAAGTTACATATTAAAGTGACACTAAACTCACGCGTTAAATCTTAAAAATACATTCAAGTCCCCTAACTATAAACCAAAATGTATAATTTGTATATCACTCGGCTGTAGATCCTCCAATCATCTCTGAATTGGTGCTGACACTGTCCTTCCTTCCGGAGGGTGGCTACTTTTGTTGCCCATGGTCTTTGTGTGTTGTAAAGTAGTCACCACTCCTGTAATGGACTACAAGCACAATACACATTAGTAAACTCAGCGTGAGATTGTAGTCCAGTGGTCATCAAAACAAATTAAACAAAACCCCAGGATTGGTAGGCAGTGGGGGTAAAAAAACAAAACCGGACAGGGTCTGTGGTCAGTGAGAGGAGTAATAATGCCTCATTGTTCCTCATTAGGAGGAAATGTGCCCCATCCTTGCTATTGGTTGGCAGAATAGTTCTCTATCGTTGGAGTCAATGGGAGGAATGATTCCACATCGTTGTTGCCTGTGGTAGGATTTAGGCCTTGTTCACACAAAGCGCAGAGCAGTTGCAGACCGGATCAGAACTGCGTCCAATGTATTCCAATGGTATTTTTTGCTCCAGTTCACATCGCAGCGTTCCGTTCCAGAGCAGGTGAAAAAACTGCAGCAAGCCCTATATTGTGCCCTTCTGTTGGCGTTGTGCTTGGTGGGTGAAAAATGATGTGGATAGTGTGAGTTGGAATCATGCCCCACCTTTGGTGTCATGGAGGGGGGAAATAAATGCCAATTTGTTGGGTGTCATGGGTGGGGGGTTGGGGTGCTCAAAGGTCCTGTAAAATACATGCAAAGGGCTGCAGTTTTGGGACCCTTGCTATTCACCTTGCATGTGTTACCGGCAGTGTTGCAGGCTCCATGCATGGGCCCTAAAGCCTAGCTGTGTGTTAACACATCCAAACATAAGGCAAAGGTGGTCTCTCTGATCCATTGGAGGTGGTTGAGCTTTCTGGTCCATTAACTGGTCTCATGACCCATGTGAATCGTATTGATACACAGACGTGCTCTTCCCCACTCAGACTCTCCCCTTCCTGTCCCATATAGCGACAGTCGCCAAAACCGGAAATGAAGAGACCATCTCTCCAGCGGCCACACTGGCAGCAGCTCTAACACTTCGTATGCTATTAAACAAAGTAAAGGATTTGAGGTATACAGCTAACTTCTATGTCATGACAACTGCAATTTATTATTTAATATAATGTAAAATTGGAGCTTATTTTTTCCTGGCAAGAAATGAGTAATTTGTATAGAACAGAAGCAATGTTGTGCCCGGTAATCTGTTGTACCTCCCATAGTAGTGTAGGGCAGTAGTAGGGACACGGGGATGTTTTGTTGTACACTATTTGCTGTGAGAAAACTTGTCTCCCAGGATATCAAACAACTGACATGTTCAGGTTTAGCAGCTTTAAACCCAACCAGACCTGAACTTCCCAGCTAGCTGCTAGAGGAAGGGCTTCCTGTATAGAAAGTGGGGAATTTAGGTGAAAGGTTAGTTTTACTGAAGGAAGTATTCTGTCCAGCCATGGTGTCCTGAGAATGGGGGGCCAGTGGCTGGCCCAAAACACTTTGCAGTTTTGAGGAATGTTTGCCTTTGCAGTTATTGGGATGGTTCTCATTCGTCCAGGTCATGATAGATCTGTAAAAAATAATAATGAAAGCAACTGGACTTTCTGTATTTTTCT